TAAAAGGTAGTGAATTATGCCAATTCTTATCTCCCTTTTTCCAAAGTAACAGTACGTCCAGCAGATATTAGAAAAAGACAAACAGAGAACAGCGCATCTTATTATAAACCGTATTGTTGCTAACGATTCCACTAAGCAAGCACATAAAGACTGGACACTAGACAGAATGTTTAGAGGAATTTTCATAAAAAGCATGTTGCAAAATATCCTTACATGAAGCTTTTAGAAAGAGTAATAGAGGAGTTGCCTGATGATCACTTTAAGCATAAAACATAATAAGAAAATTGAAAGTAGCAACTTAGAACCGTGCTGTTCTTCATACCAAACCATTCACAGCTCGTGAAACAATTCATGAATGACAGTAAACAGTAGTCTTTACTTCAAAAAATTCAAATGACTTTTATTTTTTCCTTTACTCTTTTAACATATATTGTAATTGAGCCAAAGAAAAAACCAAAAGAAACAGATTTGAGTTATGTCTTTCTTTGCGAGATGCAAGCCAAAGAGATCTGCATTAATCTACAACAAAATGTTTCTTTTATAAATTTTTCAAATCTTCATCTTTGATTTGATGAATTAATGTAAATGAATTGGGAATTCAAAGCTTTAACCATGCACCAACTTTCTTGCAGCAGCTTAATCCAGTAGCCTTCTGTTTGAATTTCAGTCTTTGAATGATATTTCTTTCACGTTATCTAGACAGGAATAAGATTATTATTTTTGTCGCTGTTTAATGCTTCTTGATGCTATACCGGCATTGGAAAACAGGAAGTTTCCAAGTTGTGGAACTGGATGGATCCTTGTAGTTTAAAAACACCCTGTTCTTCACACAAGTGATCAATTCAATCGATAAAAGAATTTTAAAATACTGAAATAACTTTATCGCAAAGCACTTGCCAGACAATGCACAAGATCCAGCAAAATTGTTAACTTTAATTGTAATTAAATCAGTAATTTTTTTAATTAGGATGATACCCAGCGTCCCCTTTTTTCCCAGCTTATGAAGTGCAGATTAACTATATAATGGGCTCGTTTTTCTTTTTCAGGTTTTTGGGTTTTTGGTTGCCGAAAGGACAAGAAATCTGACCTGTGAAATGATTTTGAAGGCACCAAAATCTGTGACACCGCTGCTACAATCAAAGTTACAGAGAGCGTTAGCCACCATTTTACAAGACAGTGCAATTATGAATGTGGTGTTTGCTTCAACAAGGGATTAACATCGATTGTTAAGCATGTAGATGAAGTGAAATAATATGTAGATTTTGTAACAATATCAGGCAAGTTGATTTCGGTTTTGTGATAAAAATTGCCTTTTGAATTGAATTGAACTGTGTTATGGCAAACGGTAAGCTTTTCTTATTGATTTTTAAATGGCTGTAAAAATTGCAATGAATCTTTTGGTTGCTCTATTGACAGGGAAAAATCCATCCACGAAAGAAGGAAAGAGATGAAGTGAAACTTTTGCTATCAGGTCAAAGCACAAGTCTTCAGCATCTTCTGACCCAAAAGGAAATAGAGCCCTATTTGATGTGGCCTCCGTTTGAGCAACGTTCAACAGATTGGGTAATCTTGGAATGACTAGCTATGTATATAGGTAAGCAGACATTGTTTACATATTGCTGTGCATCAACTGCTCTTTCATAAATGCATTCATGAAGATTTATGCAATGTTTGCAGCGAAATAGTTACATGATATCAAATCGCATTGGGTCTCGCTTAACAAAAATCTTTACCCTTCTTCCTATCGTGCTTGAATCTATCAGCACCTTTGAAAATCCTCCCCATAAATAATCTGTACTATGCAACAGGAACTATAAATTTGTTGTTGTTATTTTGATCTCCAAAATATGTTTTCAGAAGTTATTAAAATTGTTTTCGGTATCAGAAGGAAGAAGGGAAAAAATTGGAAACACCACTAAGCTTGAATTTAATGTTATTTAAGGCGAAGGTGGCATTAAAGAAAAATAAGTTCGATTTCAAATCTTCTGCTTTTAAAACGCAACAAAATCTTTGAAGTTTGCTTTGTAGAATGAGATTCTTGTATAATAACATTTTGCATCTCCTTGACTTTCGTTAGGAATTTTTTTCAACTAGACCCCGGCCCCCCCCTCCCACATATCTCTCTGCCTTTTTAAACAGACACCGTGTTTGAAGCGTTGTTATGATCTTTTCCAAAGGAGTTTTGGAAGAATTAATAGGCTTGATGGTTAGAAAATAATACTGAAACGACCTCAAACGAGACTAAATTGAATCACAATAGTGAATGCAGCTTAGCAATATCCACACTGAGCCAGAAAGAGAGAGACAAAAATATACAAAACTTTTTCAAAGAAAATCTTTTTTTCCAAACAAAATTTTAATCAATTACAATACTTAGAAAAAAGTTTAAATACTATATGGATGTTAACGTTGTCTTATATTTGTTAAAGTCTGTTTGCACAACGAAATCTTTTAAAAAGTCTTTTCACAAAAGGCTTCTTTTTCACTTCCACTTTTGCCAATGTTTCCTGCATCCCTTGTATTCTTTCGATCATTTGATCCAACCTCTCCTCACTGTCCCCATTAAGCTCTGGGGTATCAAAGCAAATCTGTGCAATGTTTTTAAGCCTCGCTGCCATGTTTTCGATCCTCATGTCTTGAATGTCAATCTCATACCTCATTTGCTTGTTTTCACGGAGCTGCCACTTCAAAGCCTGGTCCTTCTCCTTCAGGCTGACAAGAAGGGCATCTTTTTCTTGTATTGTGATTTCGACTTGCTCCGTAGCATTTGCCAATGATTCAGTAGTCTCGTTGAGAAATGCTTCAAGCTCGTTTGCTCTCTTTTCTGAAGTTTCCGCACTCTTAGTGGCTTCTTGAATTTTGTCAGCCATTTCTCTAATCTTTGATTCAGCTGTGGCTGCCATGTTTTGTGCATTGTTCTGCAGCTCGGTAATTAATTTCTCCAGCCTTTCTGTTTTCTGCATCAAAGATTCAATTTCTGACCTGAGTGAGATATTTTTGTTTTCCAGATTCAAAATTCGAGCCATGTCTCCTGCTTCCCTGACGACGTTCTTTACAGTAATTTCGGCCACTTCTTTTACCACTTTGGTGTTGGCTTCCTTCATTTCATGCTTGAGCTCCCATATTCTCAGACCCTTTTTGACTGCATCAATCTCTATCTGCTCGATCTTTGCCTCTTGGTTACAAATGATTGATGCTTGTTGAGCAATGCATGTCTGGTCTTTTTGCATTTTGTTTTTAAGCTCTTCTATCTGACGTTTGAGATCCGAAATTTCGTCTTCTTTTTTGAAAAGGTTATTTTCTATCTCTTCAAGACGACCTTCAAGTAGAAACTTTTCACTGAGGAGTTTGATGTTTTCGCCTTGCAATTCCAGCATTGCCTCTTTGGTTTCTTTGTTTTCGGTTTCCTTGCTTTCAAAGGCAACTTCCATTTCCTGAAACTCCTTTTTCAATTCCTCCAGCTGTTTCTCCTTCTCTTCACACTTGTCAGTCAATTCCTTCTTCTGACGTTTTAATTTCTTGACTTTCTCTGGCTCACGTTGTACCAACTCATCCGCCATGTCTTGTTGATAGTTTAGTACTTCCGTCAAGCCACTCATTTGCATTTTAAGATCATTTATCTAGGATCAGAAAATATATCCAAAATTATTTGTCGTCTAAAAGATTCCTTGGAAATCGTTTATCGATACAGCAAAAGTAAAACATTAAGCTCTATAGGAACATGGAGTATTAATGAAAGTTTTGGGTATCATTTTCTTATAAGAAACTGTATTGGTAACCCATGCTGACCTCCATTTTGCACTGATCCTTCTCTAACTTAAATGCTCTCTCTCGGTCCTTGGATTTTCTGGAATAAAAAAAGAAACTCATATAATTTTTGTTGTCGATGCTCGACAGAAAACGTTTACTTGCAGTTGAGGGTTTACATTAAGGCAAAGAAACTTAGGATGAAACTGTATCTTGATCCTCGTTCAATACTTTCAAAATTATTTCGTAAAAAGCAAAAAGATATTAAACTTTATGAAGAATCGACAATTTGCACTCACTTCACCAAAACTCCGTTCAGTTCTTTTAGCTTGCTCGCTTCTTTCTTCGACGTCTCCAGTTCGCTCATTAGCTCCTTCACCAAAGTCGAGTCACCACCGGCCGTTTTCTCTTCACTTTTCAACGACATGTTGATCATAATCCGATGTAAGTAACGCACAAATCACAAACAACAGCTCGCGTAGATACACGTAGATCTTTTGTACAAACTATATTCACAACTTGTAGAAGATTGCTGAAGAACACCGCTTAGATAACGATACTCTTCGCCAATTAATCTCTTGCTGTACGCATCCCCTTTTATAGCAATCAAAACCGTTTGTGACGTCAGATTGATTGTATACGTGATATCTTACCTTTAGTTGTTGGTCTTAAAAACGAATGTGATGTCAAATTCATTAAGGACCTGATTGATGAAGACATTTAGTGCCTAAGTATTTAATCTTAGCAGAGACCAGTCTAGTGTCCTTTAACTCTAGCCTTGTTTTTCTCTTTTCCTTTCAGTCAATCTTCCCTGTTCTCAATTTCTTTGAATCCCTCTTTTTTCATTCCCTTTTTTCTTTCTCCTATGAATTGGAATCACATTTTACTCTCGTTAAAGAGCATTTTTGCTTGAGCTATTAAAGTTTTTAGAGATTGGCTCAATTTGCTAAAGCTACCGAATGCACTCCTTCAATTTTTTTTCTCATTTTCTTCAATTTTGAAAACCCTATTGATGTTGTTGTCCAAAAGTTTATTTTTCGCTTTCTGTGATGCAGCTTTTGGTCAATGCTTGCTCTCACCTCTTGAATACCTAATTTTTAAATTTGTTAATGAATATCAGACCTCTTTTATTGTAAGTTAAAGTCCTTGTGTGTCTACTTTTTCATAAAGTTCATTAAAAGTTTGTGAATTATGCCATTTCTTATCTCCCTTTTTCCAAAGTAACAGTACGTCCAGCAGATATCAGAAAAAGACAAACAGAGAACAGCGCATCTTAATATAAACCGTATTGTTGCTAACGATTCCACTAAGCAAGCACATAAAGACTGGACACTAGACAGAATGTTTAGAGGAATTCTCATAATAAGCATGTTGCAAAATATCCTTACATGAAGCTTTTAGAAAGAGTAATATAGGAGTTGCCTGATGATCACTTTAAGCATAAAACATAATAAGAAAATTGAAAAAAGCAACTTAGAACCGTGCTGTTCTTCATACCAAACCATTTACAGCTTTGTCCAGTAGCCTTCTGTTTGAATTTCAGTCTTTGAATGATATTTCTTTCACGTTATCTAGACAGGATTAAGAATATTGTTTCTATCGCTGTTTAATGCTTCTTGATGCTATACCGGCATTGGAAAACAGGAAGTTTCCAAGTTGTAGAACTGGATGGATCCTTGTACTTTAAAAACACACTGTTCTTCACACCAGTGATCACTTCAATCGATAAAAGTATTTTAAAATACTGAAATAACTTTATCGCACAGCACTTGCCAGACAATGCACAAGATCTAGCAAAATTGTTAACTTTAATTGTAATTAAATCAGTAATTTTTTTAATTAGGATGATATCCAACGTCCCCTATTTTCCCAGCTCATGAAGTGCAGATTAACTATATAATGGGCTCGTTTTTCTTTTTCAGGTTTTTGGGTTTTTGTTCGCCGAAAGGACAAGAAACCGGACCTGTGAAATTATTTTGAAGGCATCAAAATTTGTGACACCGCTGCTACAATCAAAGTTACAGAGAGCGTTAGCCACCATTTTACAAGACAGTGCAATTATGAATGTGGTGTTTGCTTCAACAAGGGATTAACATCGATTGTCAAGCATGTAGATGAAGTGGAATAATGTGTAGATTTTGTAACAATATCAAGCAAGTTGCTTTCTGTTTTATGATAAAAATTGCCTTATGAATTGAATTGAACTGTTTTATGGCAAACGGTAAGCTTTTCTTATTGATTTTTAAATGGCTGTAAAAATTGCAATGAAACTTTGGTTGCTTTCTTGACAGGGAAAAATCCATCCACGAAAGAAGGAATGAGATGAAGTGAAATTTCTGCTATCAGGTCAAAGCACAAGTCTTCAGCATCTTCTGACCCGAAAGGAAATAGAGCCCTATTTGATGTGGCCTCCGTTTGAGTAGCATTCAACAGAGTGGGTAATCTTGGAATGGCTAGCAATGAAAATAGATAAGCAGACATTGTTTACACATTGCTGTGCATCAACTGCTCTTTCATAAATGAATTCACGAAGATTTATGCAATGCTTGCAGCGAAATAGTTACGTGATATCAAATCACATTGGGTCTCGTTTAACAAAAATCTTTACTCCTCTTCCTATCATGTTGAATCTATCAGCACCTTTGAAAATCCTCCCCATAAACAATCTGTACTATGCAACAGGAACTAGATATTTGTTGTCGTTTGTATGATCTCCAAAATATGTTTTCAGAAGTTATGAAAAATGCTTTCGGTATCAGAAGGAAAAGGGGGAAAATTGGAAACACCATTAAGCTTGAATTTAATATTATTCAAGGCAAAAGTGGCATTGAAGAAAAAATAAGTTCCACTTCGAGTCTTCTGCTTTTAAAACGCAACAAAATCTTTGAAGTTTGCTTTGTAGAATGAGGTTCTTGTATAATAACATTTCCTAAACTTTCATTAGGAATTTTCTTCATCTAGCCCCCACACACATCTCTCTGCCTTTTTAACCAGACACCCTATCTGAAGCGTTGTTATGATCTTTTCTAAAGGAGTTTTTGGAAGAATAAATAGGCTTAATTGTTAGAAATTAATACTGAAATGACCTCAAATGAACCTGAATTGAATCACAATAGTGAATGCAGCTTAGCAATATCCACACTGAGCCCGAAAGAGAGAGACATAAAAATATACACAATTTTTTTAAAAAAGATCTTTTTTTCCAAACAAAATTTTAATCAATTACAATACTTAGAAAAAAGTTTAAATACTATATGGATGTTAACGTTGTCTTATATTTGTTAAAGTCTGTTTGCACTGCGAAATCTTTTAAAAAGTCTTTTAACAAAAGTCTTCTTTTTCACTTCCACTTTTGCCAATGTTTCCTGCATCCCTTGTATTCTTTCGATCATTTGATCAAACCTCTCCTCACTGTCCCCATTAAGCTCTGGTGTATCAAAGCAAATCTGTGCAATGTTTTTAAGCCTCGCTGCCATGTTTTCGATCCTCATGTCTTGAATGTCAATCTCATACCTCATTTGCTTGTTTTCACGGAGCTGCCACTTCAAAGCCTGGTCCTTCTCCTTCAGGCTGACAAGAAGGGCATCTTTTTCTTGTATTGTGATTTCGATTTGCTCCGTAGCATTTGCCAATGATTCAGTAGTCTCGTTGAGACATGATTCAAGCTCGTTTGCCCTCCTTTCTGAAGTTTCCGCCCTCTTAGTGGCTTCTTGAATTTCGTCGGCCATTTCTCTAATGTTTGATTCAGCTGTGGCTGCCATGTTTTGTACATTGTCCTGCAGCTCGGTAACTAATTTCTCCAGCCTTTTTGTCTTCTGCATCAAAGATTCAATTTCTGACCTGAGTTTGACATTTGTGTTTTCCAGATTCAAACTTCGAGCTTCGTCCCCTTCTTTTCTGATGACGTTCTTTACAGTAATTTCAGCCACTTCTTTTATCACTTTGGTGTTGGCTTCCTTCATTTCATGCTTGAACTCCCATATTCTCAAATCCTTTTTGACTGCATCAATCTCCATCTGCTCGATCGTTGCCTCCTGGTTAGAAATGATCGATGCTTGTCGAGCAATGCATGTCTGGTCATTTTGCATTTTGTTTTTAAGCTCTTCCATCTGATGTTTGAGATCCGAAATTTTGTCTTCTTTTTTGAAAAGGTTATTTTCTTTCTCTTCAAGACGACCTTCAAGTAGAGAATTTTCACTGAGAAGTTTGATGTTTTCGCCTTTCAATTCCAGCATTGCCTCTTTGATTTCTTTGTTTTCGGTTTTCTTGCTTCCAAAGGCAACTTTCATTTCTTGTAAACTTTTCTTCATTCCTTCTAACTGCTTCTCCTTCTCTTGACACTTGTCAGTCAACTCCTTTTTCTGACGTTTCAATTTCTTGACTTTCTCTGGCTCGCGTTGTACCAACTCATCCGCCATGTCTTGTTGATAGTTTAGTACTTCCGTCAAGCCACTCATTTGCATTTTAAGATCATTTATCTAGGATCAGAAAATATATCCAAAATTATTTGTCGTCTAAAAGATTCCTTGGAAATCGTTTATCGATACAGCAAAAGTAAAACATTAAGCTCTATAGGAACATGAAGTATTAATGAAAGTTTTTGGTATCATTTTCTTATAAGAAACTGTATTTGTAAACCATGCTTACCTCCATTTTGCACTGATCCTTCTCTAACTTAAATGCTCTCTCTCGCTCCTTGGATTTTCTGGAATAAAAAAAGGAACTCATATAATTTTTTGTTGTCGATGCTCGACAGAAAACATTTACTTGCAGTTGAGGTTTCACATTAAGGCAAAGAAACTTAGGATAAAATGTATCTTGATCCTCGTTCAATACTTTCAAAATTACTTTGTTAAAACCAAAAAGATATTAAACTTTATGAAGAATCGACAATTTGCACTCACTTCACCAAAACTCCGTTCAGTTCTTTTAGCTTGCTCGCTTCTTTCTTCGACGTCTCCAGTTCGCTCATTAGCTCCTTCACCAAAGTCGAGTCACCACCGGCCATTTTCTCATCACTTTTCAACGACATGTTGATCATAATCCGATGTAAGTAAGGCACAAATCACAAACAACAGCTCACGTAGATACACGTAGATCTTTTGTACAAACTATATTCACAACTTGTAGAAGATTGCTGAAGAACACCGCTTAGATAACGATACTCTTCGCCAAGTAATCTCTTGCTGTACGCATCCCCTTTTATAGCAATCAAAACCGTTTGTGACGTCAGATTGATTGTATACGTGATATCATACCTTTAAGTGTTGGTCTTAAAAACGAATGTGATGTCAAAATTCATTAAGGACCTGATTGATGAAGACATTAAGTTCCTAAGGATTTAATCTTAGCAGAGACCAGTCTAGTGTCTTTTAACTCTAGCCTTGTTTTTCTCTTTTGCTTTCAGTCAATCTTCCCTATTCTCAATTTCTTTGAATCCAATGCTCTCTTACTGACATTGCCCTCAGATTCAATTTATCTTTCTGCCTTTACTCTTTATTGCTACCGTCCTACGTTCCCTCTTTTTTCATTCCATTTTTTCTTTCCCCTACGAATCGGAATCACATTTTACCTCTCGTTAAAGAGCCTTTTTGCTTGCTCCTCTAAACTTTTTCTTATTTGCTTCAATTTTGAAAACTCTATTGATGCTGTTGTCCAAAAGTTTATTTTTCCCTTTCTGTGATGCAACTTTTTGTCAATGCTTGCACTCACCTCTTTATTACCTATTTTTTAAATTTGTTAATGAATATCAGACCTCTTTTATTGTAAGTTAAAGTCCTTCTGTGTCTACTTTTTCATAAAACTCATTAAAAGGTAGTGAATTATGCCAATTCTTATCTCCCTTTTTCCAAAGTAACAGTACGTCCAGCAGATATTAGAAAAAGACAAACAGAGAACAGCGCATCTTATTATAAACCGTATTGTTGCTAACGATTCCACTAAGCAAGCACATAAAGACTGGACACTAGACAGAATGTTTAGAGGAATTTTCATAAAAAGCATGTTGCAAAATATCCTTACATGAAGCTTTTAGAAAGAGTAATAGAGGAGTTGCCTGATGATCACTTTAAGCATAAAACATAATAAGAAAATTGAAAGTAGCAACTTAGAACCGTGCTGTTCTTCATACCAAACCATTCACAGCTCGTGAAACAATTCATGAATGACAGTAAACAGTAGTCTTTACTTCAAAAAATTCAAATGACTTTTATTTTTTCCTTTACTCTTTTAACATATATTGTAATTGAGCCAAAGAAAAAACCAAAAGAAACAGATTTGAGTTATGTCTTTCTTTGCGAGATGCAAGCCAAAGAGATCTGCATTAATCTACAACAAAATGTTTCTTTTATAAATTTTTCAAATCTTCATCTTTGATTTGATGAATTAATGTAAATGAATTGGGAATTCAAAGCTTTAACCATGCACCAACTTTCTTGCAGCAGCTTAATCCAGTAGCCTTCTGTTTGAATTTCAGTCTTTGAATGATATTTCTTTCACGTTATCTAGACAGGAATAAGATTATTATTTTTGTCGCTGTTTAATGCTTCTTGATGCTATACCGGCATTGGAAAACAGGAAGTTTCCAAGTTGTGGAACTGGATGGATCCTTGTAGTTTAAAAACACCCTGTTCTTCACACAAGTGATCAATTCAATCGATAAAAGAATTTTAAAATACTGAAATAACTTTATCGCAAAGCACTTGCCAGACAATGCACAAGATCCAGCAAAATTGTTAACTTTAATTGTAATTAAATCAGTAATTTTTTTAATTAGGATGATACCCAGCGTCCCCTTTTTTCCCAGCTTATGAAGTGCAGATTAACTATATAATGGGCTCGTTTTTCTTTTTCAGGTTTTTGGGTTTTTGGTTGCCGAAAGGACAAGAAATCTGACCTGTGAAATGATTTTGAAGGCACCAAAATCTGTGACACCGCTGCTACAATCAAAGTTACAGAGAGCGTTAGCCACCATTTTACAAGACAGTGCAATTATGAATGTGGTGTTTGCTTCAACAAGGGATTAACATCGATTGTTAAGCATGTAGATGAAGTGAAATAATATGTAGATTTTGTAACAATATCAGGCAAGTTGATTTCGGTTTTGTGATAAAAATTGCCTTTTGAATTGAATTGAACTGTGTTATGGCAAACGGTAAGCTTTTCTTATTGATTTTTAAATGGCTGTAAAAATTGCAATGAATCTTTTGGTTGCTCTATTGACAGGGAAAAATCCATCCACGAAAGAAGGAAAGAGATGAAGTGAAACTTTTGCTATCAGGTCAAAGCACAAGTCTTCAGCATCTTCTGACCCAAAAGGAAATAGAGCCCTATTTGATGTGGCCTCCGTTTGAGCAACGTTCAACAGATTGGGTAATCTTGGAATGACTAGCTATGTATATAGGTAAGCAGACATTGTTTACATATTGCTGTGCATCAACTGCTCTTTCATAAATGCATTCATGAAGATTTATGCAATGTTTGCAGCGAAATAGTTACATGATATCAAATCGCATTGGGTCTCGCTTAACAAAAATCTTTACCCTTCTTCCTATCGTGCTTGAATCTATCAGCACCTTTGAAAATCCTCCCCATAAATAATCTGTACTATGCAACAGGAACTATAAATTTGTTGTTGTTATTTTGATCTCCAAAATATGTTTTCAGAAGTTATTAAAATTGTTTTCGGTATCAGAAGGAAGAAGGGAAAAAATTGGAAACACCACTAAGCTTGAATTTAATGTTATTTAAGGCGAAGGTGGCATTTGCATTTTGACTTCGACATACCTTAAGAATAATCCGGTTGAATTTTCGTTTCAGTTTTTTTACGCATAGTTGTCATAGAAAATTGCATTCATACAAGAAAAATCAAGTTTTTTGTTTCATATACAAACAACAGAAATCCAAGGTTTTACTTTGTACGTTTGAGATTTTACAAAAAACTATGAACAAGGAACTAGAAAAAGTCAAACATCATCATAGAAAGTCAACCACAACAGAAAAATAGGTTTTTGGGGACATATTAAAAAACTTTTGAATCTCTAATGCCGCTGAACATTTGAATTTAAAAGACGTTTTTAAGGAAATTTTTTAAGCTGCAAAATAGAAAACTAACATTTCAATGTAATAAAAACAAGAACCAATATTTTTGTTGCAATTGCTTGACGCGTATTGAACTCGACATACCTTGAAGAATAATCTGTTGAATTTTCGTCTTTTCAGTTTCTTGCATAGTTTCAGAGAAAATTGCATTCATACAAAGATAAATCAAGATTTTTTGTTTTCATATACAAAATCAAGAAATCTAAGGGTTTTCTTTTGTACGGTGGATTTTACAAAAAAAGACTATGAAACTAAGAAACTAGAAAAAAGTCAAAATCATCAATATTAGAAATTGTCAAACCCAAAACCAAAAACAGAAAATAGGTTTTTGGGAACATTTAAAACACTTTTGAATTCTCTAATGCGCCTGAAAAGTTGAAATTAACTCAAAAAAAAAAGTTTTTAAGGAAAATTTTTTAAGCTGCAAATCAGAAAACTAACCATTTCAATTTGTTGATAAAACTAAGAACCAAATATTTTGTTGACAATTGCTGACAATATTGAGCTTCGCGGTACCTTTCAAAGAATATTTCTGTTTGAATTTTTCGTTTAGTTTCTTGCATAGTTTCAGATGAAAGTGTATTCATACAAAGATAAATCAAGATTTTTTTGGTTTCATATACCAAAATCAGAAATCTAAGGGTTTTCTTTGTACGGTGGATTTTACAAATAATAATTGAAACTAAGGAACTAGAAAAAGTCAAAATCTCAATTAGAAAAGTCAACCACAACAGAAAAATAGGTTTTTGGTTGACATTTTAAAAAACACTTTTAATTCTCTAATGCCGCTGAAAGTTTTGAAATTACAAGTTTTTAAAGGAAATTTGTTTAAGAGCTGCCAATAGAAAACTAACATTTCAATGTTAATATAAAACAAGAACCAAATATTTTGTTGACAATTGCTGACGCGTATTTTGAACTCGACATACCTGAAGAAATTCGTTGAATTTTCGTTTCAGTTTCTTGGCATAGTTTCAGAGAAAAATTGCATTTCATACGAAAGATAAATCAAGATTTTTTTCATAGTACAAAATTTGAGAAATCTGAAGGTTTTCCTTTGGTACGGTTGGGATCTTTACAAAAAAAACTATGAAACTAAAGAACTAGAAAAAGTCAAAAATCATATCAATTAGAAAGTCAACCACAACAGAAAAATAGTTTTTGGACATTTAAAAACACTTTTGAATTCTCTAATGCCGCTGAAAAGTTTGAAAATTACAAAGTTTTTAAAGGAAATTTTTTAAGCTGCAAATAGAAAAACAAACATTTCAATGTTAATAAAGACAAGAACCAAATATTTTTGTTGACAATTGGCTGACAATATTGAGCTCGCGGTACTTCCAAGATAATCAATCTTTGAAATTTTTCGTTTCATTTTTTGCATAGTTTCAGAGAAATATTGCATTTATACAAGATAAATCAGATTTTTGTTTCATATACAAAATCAGAAATCTAAGGTTTTTCTTTGTACGGTTGGATTGTTACAAAAAACTATGAAAAACTTAAAGAACTAGAAAAAGTCAAAATTATCAATTAGAAGTCAACCTCACCAGAAAAACAGTTTTTTTGGGACATTTAAAAACACTGTTGAGTTCCTAAGCCGCTGAAAGTTGGTGAAATTAGAAAGTTTTTTAGGATTTTTTCAAGCTGCAATTGAAAACTAACATTTCATTGTGAATAAGACAAGAACAAATATTTTGTTGACAATTGCTGACCAAATATTGAGCTCACGTACTTCCAAGAATAATCTGTGAATTTTCGTTTCATTTTTGCAATAGTTTCAGAGAAAATTGCATTCATACAAAGAAAATCAAAGATTTTTTTTTCATATACAAAAACAGAAATCTAAGGAGTTCTACTTTGTACGTTTGAGATTTTACAAAAAACTATGAAAACTAAAGGAACTAGACAAAGTCAAAAACTATCAATTAAAAATTCAAGCACACCAGAAAAACAAGTTTTTTGACATTTAAAAACACTTTTGAGTTCTCTAGCTGCCGCTGAAAAGTTTGAAATTACAAAGTTTTTGAAAAAATTTTTTCAAGCTGCAAATTGAAAACTAACATTTCAATTGTGAATAGAA